GGCAGCATAGCTTCCCTCCCCCCGCCCTTTACCTGCTGGAGTGCACCCTACCCAGCACTAAATAATAACCGGTGAAATAACCAGTTATCACTGGGCTTATTGGTTAAATGGTGAATCGTTTAACCCTGCACACCCCTAATTTGCATTCAGTTTGGCTTAATCTTAATAGAAATCTGTGCATGCATCTATAGTCTCTCTTGATTTTAGTGCTTTTCACTGTCCCTTAAATTATCGACAATTTTCATATTAATGGTGCAGTGGGATCTGATCCCTATAATCACATGTCCTGCCACGCCACACTTGGCTAGGGTGTGCCTTTAAAGGTGCAGAGAGAGAGAAGCCCATGGGCTACTGCTGCCTGGCTCTTGCAAACCCATGCCCACAGGCTGCCCAGGGCCAAGTCAGCAAATGCACAGTGGGGGTAGCCCATAGGTTTCCTCTGCTGTGCACCTTTTAAACATGTGCCCTAAGCAGCCCCTGCAGGGGAGACCTGGGGCACAGGTCTGCAAGTGCCAAGCAGGGGGAACCCATGTGTTTTCGCCTGCTCCATGCCTTTAAATCCTCACACATGGGTTTATAAAATCACCAGGTGCTGGAAACCAGGATGGGGAGAGCCTCCCTGGAGGCTTTAAAATTGCCATGTGCTGCCCAGATAGGTTGCAGGTATTGTGATTTAAAAGCCTGGGGTGCAGAGACCCAAGATCAGAAAGCTCTTCCTTATCTTGAGTTCCTGTGTTGATTTCTAAAGACTTGGGCCTGCCCTGTGATTATCGAGGCACTCAGCTGAGTTGAACCAGAAAATGTTAAACGTTCAATATAAGGTATGATTCAAGCCAGCTGTAAAGATGTTACATCTTTGTGGCTGGTTTGCCCTGTTAGTGTGTCAATAGTAAGGGGGGTGTGGGTAGCATGTTACAATTTATAGCACAGTTAATATATTTGTAACATAATTATAACATTTGCCAGGGCCCTTAGTGTCATACCAAAGTGCCTTCTTTTCCAAGCATATTTAATATTTAATTTAAGTGAAGGTGTCCGATAGATAAGTAACTGCTATAGAACAAAGAGCCTACAATATTAGAGGAAATAATTGTTTTTTCTAAATAAATACCTTGTTCTTTCAACGGAGAGGCTCCAAAACAAGAAACTGAACTCAAAAGACTAAAATCATCAGACTACCTCTATTTAAAATCCATCTCTTTTTTTTTTTTTTTTAATCCAAAGACCTTGACAGTGGGCGCATCTACGTGAGACTCCATGTCATCATAGTGATGAGCTACGGTGATATAGCTCATTGCTACAGCAGACACAAACCATGACAGCGATGCTACTGCGCAGTAACTTGTTGCTACTACGCAATAGAGTCGGAAAAGATCTATGCGCCGCCGGGACTGGGCAGTAACTGGTTACTGCGCAAGACTGCATAGTAACAATTGCACGGTCAGGGACACGTGTAGATGTACATGCACGGTGTTCCTTTTTTAACGTTGCTTTAAATACTGCTATTGAAAAAATTACTCTATATTTTGCATTGGGATTTTTTCATTTTTCTTCATGTATATTTGCAGAAGAAACTGGGGAGTAGTTTTATATCAGGTGTGCGGAGTAATTAGGACAAAAAAATTCCTGCCACAAGAAACTAAGCAATTTATTTCACCAAATATTATAAAAAGCAGAAATTAAGTCACTATTTTTCTTTCAAATTCCTTTTAAGCAATTTTAAACCAGAGTTTGAAATATACATTGTACAAATCAGATTAATAGTACAGCTTTCTGATATATATTGACTTTGTATAGTACTTCTGGACCGCCAAGGTAAATCCTAGTTCCATTGAAGCCATGTAAGGCCAAGATATTATCAGTAATGTTTCTCTTGTCATAATGTACTAGTTCTGTGTCTCAGACAAAACCTAAATAAAAAAAGAAAATGTCAGAGCGTTGAGTTTAAGGAATAATAAAGTAAAAACCCTTGAAATAGCCAGCTGTGGTGTGATTCATTGTAAAACAATCCTACAAATGAAGATTTTTTTTCCTTTCCTGCACTGACACTTGACAAGTACAACCCTATTACTTCTTAATATTCAAATAAATAAGTTTGCTCATGTTAGATTCAAGATGTTTATTCTTTGTACCTTTGCTATTATAATCTGAGGGTTTTTGTTTTTGTAATTAAGATGTCTTCACTTGTAGGCAATATGGTTAGATTAGAAAATATATAACGTATATTATATTGATTATAAAATGACTAGAGGTGCACCCATAC